TTACTATCTGTCAACATAGAAAGATATTATGGAATCATTGACTATATTTGTCATGCTGTACCATTGTCACCTTGACTGATTGAGAATTTTTGTGCCCCTTATCCACCTCACCCTTCCCACCCACCCACCACCACCCTTCCCCTATGGTAACCACTAGTCACTTCTCAGTGTCTGTAAGTCTACTGCTGTTTTGTTCATTCTGTTTTGCTTTATTTATATTCCACAAGATGAATAATATATGTACCACACCTTCTTTATCCATTCATCTATTGATGGACACTTAGGTTGCTTCCATATCTTGGCTATCATAAATAAAGCAGTGATAAACATAGCAGAACATATATCTTTTTGAATTAGGAATTTTGTTTTCTTCAGGTAAATTCCTAGAAGTGGAATTATTGGGTCAAATGTTATTTCTACTTTTAGTTTTTTGAGGAACCTCCATATTGCTTTCTACAACATTTGCAGCAATTTACATTCCAACCAACAGTGTTGGAGGGTTCCCATTTCTCCGCATCCTTACCAGCATTTGTTATTTCTTGTCTTTTGGATAGTGGCTACCCTAACTGGTGTGAGGTGATATCTCATTGTGGTTTTAATATGCATTTCCCTGATGATTAGTGATGGGGAACATCTTGTCATGTGTCTTTTGGCCATTTGTACTTCTTCTCTGAAATCTGTTCAGGTATTCTGCCCATTTTTTAGTTGGGTTGTTTGTTTTTTGGGTGTTGAGGCATATGAACTCTTTCTGTGTTTTGGATGTTAACCCCTTACCAGATGAATTGTTTATGAATATATTTTCCCATACTGTAGGTTGCCTTTTTGTTCTGCTGCTGGTGTCCTTTTCTGTACAGAAGATTTTTAGTTTGATATAGTCCCACTTGTTTATTTTTATTTTGTTTCCCTTGCCTGGGCAGATGTGTCCAGGAAAAAATTTCTCATGCTTATATTCAAGAGGTTTTTGCTTGTGTTTTCTTAAAAGAGTTTATGGCTTCATGTCTTACATTTAGGTATTTGATCCATTTTGAGTTTACTATTGTGTATGGAGTTAAACAGTAATACAGTTTGATTCTCTTCTCTTTCATATAGCTGTCCAGTTTTCCCAACACCAGTTATTGAAGAGGCTGTTATTTCCCCATTGTATATTCATGGTCTTTTATTGTATATTAATTGACCATATATATATATGTATGTATTTATTTCTGGGTTCTGGGTTCTCTTCTGTTGATCTATGGGTCTATTCTTGTGCCAGTGCCATTCTGTTTTGATTACTGTAGCTTTGTGTTATAGCTTGAAGTCAGGGAGCAGAATACCCCCAGCTTTGTTGTTCTTCTTCAAAATTACTTTGGCTATATTAGGTCTTTTGTGGTTCCATATGAATTTTGCAATTATTTGTTACAGTTCATTGAAAAATACCATTGGTGTTTTTATAGGGATTGCAATGAATCTTCAAATTGCTTTGGGCAGGATGACCATTTTGACAATATTAATTCTTCCTATCCATGAGCACAGGATAGATGGCCATTTATTGGTGTCTTCTTTAATTTCTCTCATGAGTGTCTTATAGTTTTTAGCATACAGGTCTTTCACCTCCTTGGTTAGGTTTATTTGTACGTATTTTATTCTTTTTGATTCAAGAGAGTAGCTTAAAGTAACAGAGTGATCCTACTTCCTCTTTCTTGTTTCTCGTATCATTGCTATTGTTTCATTTATACATTAGCATACATAATTTCATATATTTTTGCTATTATTTTGAGCAAACTGTCATCTATTAAGTCAATTAAGAATACAAAAGATTAAAGTTCTTATTTTACCTTCATTATTCCTTCTTTGGTAATCATCCTTTTTAATGTAGATCCATGTTTTTCTGACCTACATTATTTTCCTTTTCTCTAAAGAACTTACTTTAACATTTCTTGGAATGCAGATCTACTGGCTTCACATTCCCTCAACTTTTGTTTTCTGAAGGAGTCCTTTTTTTATCCTCATCTTTGAAGGTTAATTTTGCAGGGTACAGAATTAGGGTGGAATTTTTTTCTCTCAACACTTTAAACTTTTCACTTCACTCTCTTCTTGCCTCCATGGTTTCTGAGAAATCTACTGTAATATCTTTGCTCCTCTATAGGTACTTGATTTTTTTACTCTGACTTCCTTAAGGATTTTTCTTTGTCTTTGATTTGATTCTGCCTGATTTTACTTGACTTTGTAGTTGACTATGATATGTTGAGGTGTATTTTTCTTCAGCATTTATCCTGCTTGGTGTTCTCTTGAGCTTCCCATATCTGAAATTTGATATCTGTCATTAATTTTGGGGACATTTTTGAACCTATTGTTTGAATATTTCTTCTGTTTTTTACCTTTATTCTCCTTCTAATTTTCCCATTAAGTAAATGTTACACCTTTTGTATCTGCTCCACATTTCTTGAATATTCTGCCCTGACTTTTTTTTCTTTCATTTTCTTTCTCTTTGCTTTTTATTTTTGGAGGCTTCTATTGAGATATTCTCATGCTCAGAGATTTCTTTTACTCAGCTATGATCTGTCTACTAATCAACTCACTAAAGGC